TAGGAGTCGGAGTATTATCAACAATAAAACTAGCTCACCTGTTATAGAAATAAAGGGGATGCATATAATAATTCAAACCGTGAAATTACAGAATCATTTATGATTATTTCTATAATGAAAACAAATTATCCCAATTGAATTAGAATAATAGAATATATATTATAGAAAATGTTGTGTAGTGTATTTATTTATTATTGTATTTCTAAAGAATTTATAAAAACAATAAACACGAGTAAATATTTAAAAAAAAACTATTCATATAAATCTATTTTAAAAATTAGGAAATATTTAAATTATATAATTATATATAAAAATAAGAAATGCCTTTAATCATAAAAACAAATAAAAAGATTAGTTTGTTCTCTTACGTTTAGTGAAAAGTTGAATAACGTGGTGCCAGCCAGTGGTATAATTTCGAATTAAAATTCAAACGCTAGAATTCATTTTCTTAAAAAAATTTTTGAGGCTATTGTTGCATCCTTACAATTAATAATAGCTACATATTAGTTAAAAGAGGGTTTCAGTTTGTCCGACTTAGTTTAAGTAAACGAAAGCGAAAAATATGGTTCAAGCATCAAATTAAAGCTCTTACCCTATAGATGATGCCGCTGAAGAGAGATTTGAGAAAGGTACAATGGTTCAGACATGGCGATGTGACAAATGTACTGTACAATGTTAAATCTATGGGATAAACATGTCAGGGTTCCGCTCCCTCTGTTAATTTTAACCCGAACAATGTTTATTTTTAGTTTTTTTTTTGTTTTGCTGCTTTATTATCGTAAATACTGAGGTCAATATATGTTCATTTTAGTTACTAAGACCACTTTTATTATCACCCTCTCCCAACTCAACCTTATCAATCCTCCACTCCCTCAAAAGCCCGTGCAAGACCGGGCATACGCAGCTAGTTATTATATAATTACACTATTATTAATATTTATCATTGATATTTTGGGTAACTGGGTTGGTAATTTTCAGTTTTATCGTTCGTTTTTGGATAATGTCAGCTTGTGACTCGGATAAAGCGTACTTTATACAGGTAAAATTCAAAATTGGTTTAATCAGAATATTTGGATAAAGCATACTCAAACTAAAATACTTGGCATTAGTTACACTACTTATATACTTACAGTTTAATTTTAATTAATTCATCTGCCATTGACAAACTATAAATAAACAAATTATGTTAATGAGTTGGTTTAAATATTTAAAAAATAATTTGATTATGTCTTACCTTTTTGTGTTGTAATTTGTGTTCGTTTTACGGTTTTACAGATAAATTGAGATATTGTGATTTTAATTTTAATGATTAAAAAATGTAGCCTAATCAATATTAGCAAAATAACTCTAATAAAGTTACATACAGATATTAAAATAAAAAAGCATTTTCTATCAACTTTATTTTTAAACACTGAATTAAAAACGAAAAAAATTGAGTTCTTAAGTGATTGAGAATAAGGTGTAAAGTGAGAGTAAGTAGTTGGGAATAAGGTGTAAAGTACTCAATTTTTAGTAAAAATCTTACAAAACAGGAGAAACTTTGTAAGATTAATGACAAATATGATAACTTTAAAATGTTTATTTCCTTAAAAAAAGCAATAAAGAGTTAAACTGTAAACTACAGACTTTTAACAAAGCAATACAGATCTTTTACATTACATAATTCTATTTCAAAACACTTCCTAATTTTTAAAAATTTGTATACTGTTTATATCGTTAAAAAATCCTGAAGTAAAAACGCACGTGATCTGATGCTCAAAAATTTTTTCTTCATTATAGTGTGGTTTTACGATTCCTGTATAATCAAATTAAAAGCCAGTTATAATAATGTATAATATTACGAAAACATATAAGTCAGTGGTTCCCAACCTTTTTTCATTAGCGTACCCCGCGACATGTCATATCTCTAGATTGTACCCCTAATTTAAGAAATTTAGTGAGTACCAGTATTGTTAATTTTACATATTGTAACTTTAAATTAAAGAAAAAAAAGTAAATGAAAAAATGTATAATAAAGTTGTGATTGTTGCAAGGAACATATTTTACCTAATAATTTTTTAATTCTATTAGTTTGTGATACATAATATATTATTTTTTCTGCCATAATAACTAACTTTTTTCTGTACCCCTAAACAACCTATCGCGTATCCCTAGGAGTACGCGTACCACAGGTTGGGAATCGCTGGTATAAGTAATCACTCACATTGCATTGGCACCTAAGAAATTCTTCATCTCTTCTACCACACTATCGTATCTAGGATCGTCGTACTCTGCTTCACTTCCATATGTGTGAAGAGCCGAATAAGCAGATTGGTTCTGTGTAGGAGTCGGAGTAGGTGTTGGAACAGGAGGTGGAATAGGAGCAGGAACTGGTGCCCGTGGCAATGAACGTACCATACCCGTTGTTACCAAATCGGGTCTCTGTGTTGGAGTGGCAGCAGTGTAAGTAAACCCACGAACCTCGACTCCTTCTAGTGAGAAATACTGCATTAAGAAGCTGTCAGAAAATAATATAAATGAGAAAATGAAACAAACCTGGTTCTAGAAATGGTCTATCCATTTTGTGCATGCAGCAACAAGATACTAAAGGAAGAATTATCACAATGACTAACGAGACAACAACCGGAAGCGTAAAAGAAAGTTGCTGATAGAGAGGTTCTTCCTCGGGTTCTGAAACATTTAAACTAATTTAAATACTTGGAATCATTTTTCATTATAAATATATTTTGATCGTATAAGATCTAATGAATGCACTGGTGACATGTTTAACACGTTATCTGAATAAAATCTCTGTGTATCTTCTTCGATGTGCTTCAATTAGAGAACCCGTAAGTTCTAGTTATCCTTTCTTTGTTTCACTCACTATGTATTCATTCATTAGTAGTAGTGTCATTTGTTCTAATCCGACTGTGCAGGTTAAATATCTCTACATTAAATCTCACATCTCTACAGTTAATAAGAGCATACTCTTACAGATGAATGAAGATTGGCACTAAATTTCACAAAGTACTAGAAAAACTCACTACAATATTATAAAAAACTGTTATAGTATCGGAAGTATATATATTTTTATTTTTATTAATGGTTATCATAGAGATGTACTGATACAATAAGTATTCAGTGACATTTACATTGATACAGCAGTGTAATGCTCTTATATGTGCCAACTTGTTTTGGCACATAAGAATGTTTAAACGAAGACAACAAACAATTTGGAATTTTTACGATTGAGAATTAAAGTATAGTCTAAAATTTTTAAACAGTTGTTGCCCTGTATTTCAATATTATAAAAATAAGTTTTTATTTAAATTTTAATAGCTGTTTGTAAATATTATTTAGTACCGAGTATAAGTTATATAAATTCTATTATAAATTATTTTAAAGTTTTCTTACTTCTATTTGCTGTGAGAAAGCTGATCACTTCAGTTGGTCCGCTTTCTCCAAATTCATTCTTTGCAGTCATATACAACTGATACTGAATACCACTAGATAATCCTCCAATAGTATAATTATGATTTGGGGACGGTAAAAGCCCAACCATTTGCCACTGACCGTTTGTTGGCTTTATATGAGCAATATACCCTATCAACACAAATATACACATTATCAAATTATATTATATACAAAATATTTAATTAATTTATAAAACATAAAATGGCTTTACCAGTAAGTGGAATATTTCTCTTTGAAGACCATAAAATTCGCAACTGTACAGAATATGAAGTGGTAGCCATAACAGATATTCTTGGAGTTGGTGGCGATTCTAAAACATATTTGTTTAAATCTATATTTTTGAATAACGATTCGAGCTTAATAATCTATTAGCCTGCTCGTTTATGGACAAATACAGTACATACAAATAATATTTCTCTTGTATTAGAAAACACTTCTTACCAATATAAGACGTAGTTAAAAGAATTGGTTGCGAAGGAGGACTTAACCCAGCTTTGTTGTATGCAATGATGATCAAAGTATAAGTAGAAGTCTTCTGAAGATTGTCCAAAATGCAGTGTTGAATTTCTCTACTATTATCTATTATTGCATGCTTATAAGAGTAAGTTATCTGTGATCCTTGACTAGTTCTCTTATATCCAACATAAAATCCTAACAATGGTCCATTCCAATCTTCTTTTGGCGGAGGCTAAACGTAAAAAATTGAATTTACTGTCAATTTTTTAAAATATAAAACAGTCACTTTAAAATTAAACAACCTTCCAAATAAGATGAGCTGACACAGTTGATTTTTCAGTAATCAGAAGTTCAAAAGGAGGCGAAGCAGGCTCTAAAAAAGAAGTATTTTAATTAAATTTCTTTTATATTATCTAGTTATATGTCTAAATGAATAATAAGTACCTTCTTCTGAAGTAATAGCTTCAACTATTTTTGACGGTTTACTGGAACCGACTTTATTCTCAGCAACAATTTGAAACTGATATTTAGTGTAGGGTTTCAGATAATGAATAACGACAGATGCTTGAGAACCATCAGTTTTTATTTCGGAAGTAGTAGTTTTCACTTCTAAATTTCGATATTTATTTTATTAATCTTTCACTATTTTTAAATATTGTATTGATTAAAATACATACCTATTTTGTACAGAATAATATATCTCTGAATGGCACTGTTTCCATTATAAGGTTGTTCCCAATGTAGACGAACACTTCTACTCCAAATCAATGTAACTTTTACATTTTGTGGCTGGCTAGGAGGTTCTGACGAATTTTGTAATAGCGATAAGGAAAAAAATAAAATCATCGCAAACAATAGTAAGGAAATGATTTTTGCGATAATGCAATTATATAAATGCTTTAAGAATGTTAATTAGGTATAATTTTTTAAAATTATGATCGCATTATATGAAAATCACATATAGGCTAAATATATGTAATCGTAGTCTATAGTCATATTTCTATTTTTAACGACAATTTTAACGAATACATCAGAAAAAAATTAGAATTTTTATAGCTTAAATAACAAAAATAAATTATCTAATGAAATCAAAGTTAAACTATCACTGAATTTTGAAATATAAACTTTTGTTGTAACATATTTTTAACAATATTATAACTTTTATTGACCAATTGTTTGATGGAAATAATGTGTATGGTATAAATCCTGTAAAAAAATATTTATGATTTTATATCATAATAAAATTGAAATTAAGAACTCACCAACAATTCCAAGTCTTACTCCCATTTGACTAGATCCGAAAGTATTATTGGCACTGCATACGTATAACCCGCTATCTTCTCTGGATGTAGATTCAATATTCAATGTAGATATAAAATTTCTTTCTAATGTTGTCTGAACTATTTGTATTCTATAAAATATATTTCAATTTGTATCAGATTTTGGTTACAGCAATAAATTTTTCAGGCAATAATTTATTATGTAAAAATGTATTATTATTATTAAACTTATTTTTCTGTCAGTAATTCACATGTTAATTTTATTACTTCAAACAATATTATAAAATATACTCGATTTTAATTAAATTATTACCTTTGATTTCCTTCAGGTTTATTTCCATCTTTAGTCCAATGAATAGTCAATGGTTTGTCTCCAGTAACATTACACACGAGAACTGAATCATCACCATTTCTAACAATTTTTTGTGAAGATTCTAATTTTACAACAGGAGACACTACGTATTTTGAAATACGAATATACTTCAATATTAAATTTATTCATTTGATATAAAACATAAACTAGAAATTTAGAAATTTATTGTGTACATGTTCTTATAAATAATTTTTTTGTATTAATAAAATTTATAATTTAATATGCTTGATAAAATCTAAAATTCCACACCTTGCACTTCCACTCGGATCGTTTTCGATAATTTCTCTCCAACCCCATTTTCCACTTCACAAGTATAAAATCCTTCGTCATCTTTCTTTGCAATGGAAGTGGTTAAAGACCCACCATCAACTATCTTCCAATGAGTTTCAGTTATTGGAGAAGATTGAGCGACATTAAAGCCTAAAAACATTGTCATCATTTACTGTATATTCATTAAAACAATAATTACGTAAAATATGAAACATTTACCTTTCGTTCTACGCCATTTTATAGTTGNCATAATTCTGTTTATTCAGCACAATAACAAAATTATTATAATTATTTTTGCAATTCTTTAAACTTACAATGTAACGAAGAAAGTATTTTAAAAAAATTTTCCATGTTTATTTCATTAATGCAATAGATTGAGCGACATTAAAGCCTAAAAACATTGTCATCATTTACTGTATATTCATTAAAACAATAATTACGTAAAATATGAAACATTTACCTTTCGTTCTACGCCATTTTATAGTTGGAGTGGGGTAACCATTAGCTTCGCAGTGAAGGACAACACTCTTTTCTGCCATTATTGATATATCGTAAGGTTGTCGAAGCCATGAAGGAGGAACTGAAATATGAAATTATAAAACATAAATTACTAACAACGACATGCTGAATAATATTCTTAATCTTACCTAAAACAAGAAGTTTAGTTGTATGGCTATCAGATCCGAATCTATTTGATACAACACAAGTATAATTTCCACTGTCTTCGCCCTTTACTGCTGCTATAATCAAAGAAGTTGAAAAGTCATCTTGATGACGAATAACTAAATGCGAAGATTCCGTTAAGGGTTTTCCATTCTTAGACCATTGAAATTTTAATGGGGGATCACCTACGCTGACGCTACACAAAGCCATATATCTTTCACCTTCTCTTAAATTATTCTCGCTAACTTGTGGAACAATTTTTGGTGGAACTAAAATTTAATAAAAGAATTAAGAGTTAAGAAAATTTAAAAATAAATAAATTGTACTGTATATATAATCATATTTTTCGTAATAAAATTTATGAACTGAGAAACTGGAATTTTGAATTGATTAGAATTCCTAGTGTTAAAAATTTTCCACATTTATTTACCAAAATTATTAAATAAAACATATTCAAACAAAGTAGAAAACAAGATGCTTGCTTACTATGTTAAAAATAAAAGTAAAAAGAGTAAAAGTTTTACATTTTAAATGAAATTCAAACAATCCAGCAACGACTTGCTTAACTTTCCCGGCAACATTTAAAAATGCGCATGTGGCGCCATCTGTTATGATATTTTAGTAAAAACTTTTTATATTTTTAACTATTATAAAATGGCAAAAGTCTTAATTTTGTGGAAAGTGACGGGTTTTATAAAAAAATTATAAGTGCTAATAAAGAGTAAAATCTTCATTAAGTCCGATCCGATCATTAAGTTAGGAGATACACATGACCCCCTTTATCTCCCCACACCCTTAATCTTTAACCACCAAATTTTAATAACACCAATCTTCCTAATAAAAGAACCACCCTGCAAAATTTTAAAAAATTTTCGACAAAAATACAAGAGTTATTAAGCACAGGAGCGTCATTAAGCTTCAAAGAGGGTGAACAAAATCGTGCCTCCCCACACACACTAACAACCATACATGCAGAGAAAACTCCCGAAATTTTTTGAACTTCTGGACGTTTCAAGGTGTCCTGAGTCCTAAAATATAAAAATCTTGGGGGGGGGTCAATTTTTGACCGATTGCCGTTTATTACTTTTCCCTCTGTTATATATAACAGCAGGAAAAGTAATAAATATTTTTTAATATTAAAACATAAAGTTTAACAAGCAATTATTTATTGTGACATCGTCACAATGCCGGGCTGCAACTTTTAGTCATATTTTTAATTAATTTATTTATTGAAAATATATTCTCTCCATCTCAAATTAGTAGTGGCTTGCCCCTGTACATCATACTTTTCCTTTAACAATAGGTTCGTGCCAGTTATCTAACACCTTTCAGAGGAAAATTTTTGATTTGAAATAACATGATTTCCAGAAGTTCATATACAGTTAATCGGGGCCTCCTGCCCATAAGCTTTTCATGTTTGGTCACATTTTTCATCTATCTAACTTCATTCTCGAGATTAAAGAAAGACAAAGAAAGACAAACGGACGGACAGGCGAACGGACGGTCGTCAGTGGGCATTTATAGATCTACAAATTTTTATTATTTCATAATTCTGTTTATTCAGCACAATAACAAAATTATTATAATTATTTTTGCAATTCTTTAAACTTACAATGTAACGAAGAAAGTATTTTAAAAAAATTTTCCATGTTTATTTCATTAATGCAATTAAACATATAACAATTATTTTTATTATAATCTTTTATTTTTTTCTTTAAATTTATAGACCAATAAAAATTTTCGTGGTTTAATGTGTCAAAATTATAATAATATATTACAATAATATTTATTAGTATAATATAATAAATAATATAAATGTTTGAATGATTTATGCTTTAGTTTCATGTATAAACAAAACAACATTATAATTTTTTTTATGTTAAAAAAAATAATTTTTTCCATTTTATTAAAGGCTTATCAGTTAAGATTTAAGTGAAGCCTTTAATAAAATGGAGAAAGTATTTTTTTTTAATATTAAGGTTATGTTTTCTGCTTATACATGAAGTTATACTTCACAACGTCAACATTCCACGTATTTAACTATGCTTAAAAATGTATAAAACGTATTTTAAATTAAAAAATTTTTATATTTAAACAATAATTTTTTTGTTGACTTTTGTAATATTTTAAATTTATATTAAAAGTAATTATTTTTCTTAATTTTTAATTTTTAAATATAAGTGTTAAAGAGATTTTTTATAAATAATCAATTCCATTTTTTATAAATTTTATTACTCTAGAAAGCCAAAATGGCGACTGAGTTATATATTTTAAGTTCACTTACCTTCCATATAAACTATATGAAATGTAGAAGAAATCCATAAAATGATGTAATAATAACAACTGCATTTAAAATTTCTTCCTGTTGTTATTAACATAGCCTTGAATCTGTCAGGAGATTAATAACGAAGGGAAGGTTTTCCTGCCTTGCTTTCTCTTCTCTGCAGTGAAGCCGAACTTTCCTACTCTTTACTCTGTATATAGCATTAGTTATAATTATTATAGTTTCGATCATGTAACATTTACCTCATATTAGCCAAAATGGAAGTATTGTATTTCATAAATAACTAGATTTTCACAGAATTGACTGTATGACTCCATTCGACGTCTCGCTCTCCGATAGATGAACTCGTCACAAACAATACTGATGCAGTTCATTGATTAGAGCGACACGGCGTGGGAAGAAAACAAACTAAATCTTCTAAGCTATATTTTTATACTTAAATACTTAAATTATACGAAAACTATGATTTAAAATGTTATTTTATAATTAAAATTAATTTCTATTATAATATAAAATTATTTAATGTTCACGAAGTTAATGCTTATAAATATTAGACAAAATGATGATAAATCATGTTTAATATGTTTAGATTAGAGTTTTGAATATCAAAACAATGAAGTAAATACAGAATATATAAAAAATGATAATAATAAAGTTTAAAAATTTATTTAAGATATTAAATTTTATTTTTTAATTATATTAAAATTATATTTTAATCAAGTAAAAGGGATAAGAAAAAATAATAACTATTAAAAATTTTATTTCATAAAAACAATAAATAATATTTAATACAAGATGTGGATTTTAACATATTCACACATTTTCTAAGTCATAGAAACTATTGAGACATTGAACATCTCGCATTCCAGCATTCGCTTATTATTGAATAGACAATTTTTTAAGGTAAAAAGATCTCAAAATCATGAAATGTACATAAAAATTTCTTCTTCAGATTCTGTTTATAAAGTTGTTTTACGATTCCTGAAATAACATAGCTTAGTAAATATCGATAAATTATGATATAATTAAAAATGGACAATAAACTCACATGGCGTTGGCACCTAAGAAATTCTTCATTTCTTCCACCACACTATCGTATCTAGGATCATCATATTCTGCTTCACTTCCATATGTATGAAGAGCAGAATAAGTGGACTGATTCTGTACAGGAGTAGATACTGGAATGGGTACAGGAGGTGGAATTGGAGCGCGTGGTAATGAACGCACCATTGTGTGGTCTGCAGTGACTAGATCGGGTCTCTGCGTCGGAGTTGCTGCAGTGTAGGTGAATCCACGTGCCTCAACTCCTTCTAGGAAAGAACGATCATTATATAAACATATCATTTAATAAGGAATAGAAGAAAAGATTCCAACCTGGTTCTAGAAATGGTCTATCCAATTTATGCATACAGCAACATGATACTAAAGGCAGAACTATTACAATAACCAATGACACGACAACAGGAAGCGTGAAGGACAATTGCTGATAAAGAGGCTCTTCTTCGTTTCCTACATAAATTTTTTAAAATTAATTTAAAATTATATGTGAAAGCTATCTTTTTATTTATAGCATTAAATCTTTTCATTATCATCATCATATTATCATATCTTATAACAACATAAATTACAATTGTTATTAATCGGAATTTCTTTATCATCTATACATTTATAAATTTATGTTCTGTTGTTATTCGAAGTTTTTTCAGTTGTTATTTATAGCTTTTTCAATGTTCTAATTGTAGTTCTATTAAGTTAATTAATTTTTTAATTGCCTTACATTAATTTTTTCAATTTTAAAAACGTAACACGCCTACAATCATCTAATAATTCTATAAATTAATCCTAATTAATGATGAAATTATTTGAGATCATCAAATTCTGAATTTCAGTTGGATTCTTATTAAACAGATGTATTAAATTTTTATTCACAGCAGCTCGTCAATTGAATATGACATTCGATGTTTGTATTACACTAATTCGTATATTTAAATTACATTATTACAATACTTACTAATACTATTACAGTAAATTACAATATTAAATTTATTTATAACAGCATAAAGATAAGATAACAGTTAACTGTGAATATATTAAATGTAAGCTTAAACCTAAATTGCCAATTTGTAAGTTACGAAGCGTTACAAGTTGGCAATTACTGTTGATACGATATAATCTCGTTCGTCATCGAACCATATTTCAAAACATAATATCAGTAATAAAATATAAATGAGAAGCCATTAATGACCGATCAACAGTATTATAATTTCATAAAATATTAAATAAATTTCTTGTAATTTTTTGTTTACTTTTGAATTTATTTTAATTTAGAAATAAGTTTTAGTTCTCAATAATTAGATCTGAAACATTTGTGAATAATATGTTATATAATTATATGAAACCAATAATTATAAAATTATTAAACTCTTCAAACTCGATAAAACCAAAAGTCAGGGTAACAGAAAAATTTAAGAATTTTTCGCTACTCTGTAAAGATTTTGTATGAAAAGTTTGGAAAATAATAACTGTATTTAACGGCACATTATTTTAAGACGATACTTTTGTTTCAAAATAAAATAAATAAATAAAAATCGTCTTTAAGCTCCAGTGTTTTCCAGATAAATAAATTGTGCATTCTAATTTTACCTTTTTAAGACCCGAAAGACAGTAAAAAAAAAAAAAA